AGGGGCTTTTTTTAAAATTTTCTAAAAAAGATGGAAAAAATATAAAAGTGAGTATTAATGACCAAAATAATTTTTAATCTTTACTATAATGTAGAGAATATCTAAAAATGCATTACAAATCAAATTCCTTATTTTTGAGAATTTATATACATTTTATTGAATTTTTTTTTAAAAATACCAGTTGATCACCCTAACCGCCCAAAACTGAAACCGACCACTTACCAGTTCCGATCTAACCGAACTATTAGCAGTTAGATCGGACAATTTTGCGAACAATGATATATAGTTGATTTAGGATGCATTTAGGATCGACTAGAGAGGGGAAGTAAACAAAAATAGGTCGTGGAGACTTATCCTTTTGCCACAATATTTGCTGCTCCCGTGAGAGCGTATTATACATTTGCTACCTTGTATAAAACTCATGCTAAGAATATTTTTTGGATCCCAAAATAGCCTGTAATTTCTATAAGCTAATAACAAACCTTAATGGAAAGAAAATTAAGTAGGACTCTCTACGCGCCTCACAAAAAATTAACATTACAAGATTGAACGAGAACAATCAAAATTTTAATCCAAACTTTTTCTTGAAAATAATCATATGATGATACTTGGATTGCAAATTTTGGATAAAAAACTATTTTATTAGAGGGAGTTATTGTATATAGTATTCCTGCATGACAAATGCAATCTCCAAGTAAAAAAATAAGTGTATTTTTGTCTATAAACATCTCTATATGGGATAAGTCTGGAAAAAACGAACGTTTTTTTTTTTTTGCAAGAAATTGACTTAAAAATTAGTAAAAAAAAAATCATCGCTTGGTTTTAAGGATGCAAATAATTAAAAGAACATGAGCTATCTCTATCAAGAACATGAGCTATCTCAATCACCATCGTTATCAATGACGAGTAACTTCATGCACAAGTAACGTTTTTGAAGCGAAACATATGTAAATTAAATGAATATGGTTTTCTAAAAATGACACTAAAGTAGGACAAGATGTGCTTTTCTCAAATTTCTCTCTTGGCGCATGTGATCCTTGAAATTTCGTTTAAAAACGAGTGTTAGATGTGTCGGATGAACCCGACGGTTCGTGTCCGGGTTTCATGGAGAAGTGTCTGGTCAATCAATAGGTTAAATGAATATAACCATATATTTTAATTATAATATTTAAATAAGGGAAAGGTTTATATAGAGCGGAGGCTCTAAACAATCAAATTTGAGCCTACCTCGATGCTCAAATATCCTCAAATTGATCATCTCGACGTCAAGATACATAGACATGAAAAAAAAAGGATTTGAAGTTTTGGAAATTGTGTATTTTGTAATGCATTCTTTTTTATCATCAATTTTCAAGATTTTCATGTTTTGATAGATCTGCCGATCTACACTAGTTTTTAAGCTTTAAACTTTATAAATAAAGATGAAAATAATTTTTAAGGCTATCACAAAGATATTTAATATTGAAACCACATTTATTGACACTATTTGAAGGTAGGCTCTAATTTGATTGTTTAGAGCCTAGGCTCTATACAAACCGAACCCTTTAAATAATACATGTATAAATTTAACATAATATTTAAATCCTTAACAACTTATATTAGGGTGCTCATGCAGTGAAGTAATTTATCATAGTACTCAACAATTTTTAGACCGGCTTGGTCGTGGTCGTGGTCACATTGTGGTTTCCATTCTCACCACTAATACTACCCTACTAACACCTTTTGAAAGCTAACTCCTAACCTATTTGAAAAAAATAGGTAAGGCTTGTCTTTCCCATTGAATTACCCAAAAAAAAAAAACACGAGATGAAGACTTTGTGAAGAGAGAGATTTTAGGGAAGGATACGTATTGCAAGGACCATATAATATGTGAATCCAGTGTAACATACCTCCTATTTCATTTCAGTCTATAATATTCTTGCTCATAAACATCTTGATTGAAAAAATAAGTAACATAGAGAATATAAAGTTTGATTGAAAAATGAGATCTCTTTTTGTTAAATACTTTATGTTCATGAAAACTTCTTGCTCATAAACATCTTGATTGAAAAAATAAGTAACATAGAGAATATAAAATTTGATTGAAAAATGAGATCTCTATTTGTTAAATACTTTATGTTCATGAAAACCTGGGAATATTTTGAGGGTCATTGGGAAACTAATTTCCAATCCGTAAATTTAAAAAAAAAAAATTCAAATTTTTTTTTTATGATCTTATATTCTTGAGCCTTAAAAGGAGCCTCTTGGGAGGAGCCTATTCACAATGTTTTCATGGTGGATTCTACTTTATTTGCATGTGCATGTGATACAGGTGAAACTATGAAACTACAATGTAACTTCTCATGACTTAATGAAAAATACTATAAAAAATAGAACTTTTGAACAAGAAACATTCACATCAATGTTACTATATTTGCTTGGGGGTGCTTCTGTTGGACATAAAAGGGAAGTTCCTTGGAGTGTATTTTTAAAACTTCAAAAAATTAGAATTGTAAATAACTTGTCACTTTCCTAAATTTTTTAATATAATGGCATATCCTATAAAATTATAAATAGTACGTATGAGTTATACTTTTTTTCTTTTATACATTATCTGTCTGCTTTTAATACTTTACTCAGCGTTAGGAAGTGTGATTCGGACCTAGTAATCGGTTCGTGCTTGAGCCAGCTACTTGGGCAAATTTAGAGTAACTGATTAATGGTGAATACTGTAGCAGCAAAAAAACGTAAAAAAATTATAAAAAATCCAAAAAAAATAGGAAATATATGTTTAAAGTAAGATTAAGAAAAACACTTCAAAATGATGTTAAAAACGAAGTAAAAAAAAAGATTTTGAAAAATCAACTTGTGATTGGAGTATTTTTGAAAGGAAAACGTTTATATAAAGCCGACGCTCGTAACAATAAAATTAGAGCCCACTTCAAAAATTGCACTATAATAGGTTATTTTGATGCCCATATATCCTCAAATCGATCATCTCGACATCAAGATGTAAGGACATGAGATTAAAATAGATTTTAAGTATTGAAAATAGTACATCTTGTAACGCGTTTTTGGAACGTCAATTTTCAAGTTTTCATAAATCTACTCGATCTACACGATTTTTTAAGCTTTAAATTTTATAATTAAAGATGAAAATATATTTGAAGGCTATCACAAAGATTTTCAGTATTGAAACTACATTTCTCGACAGTATTTGAAGGTGCGGTTACTTTGATTTTTTAGAGCCTCAGCTCTATACAAACCGTACCCTTTGTAAAATAATCTAAAAATAATGGAAAAATGTAAAATGAGTATTTAAAAAACATAGCCCATATAAAGAACATAAAAAAACAATAATATATATATATATATATATTTATGTTTTAAAATTTGATCTTTTTTTTAAAAAATTAATATTCCCGAGTTGGACACCAAATTCGGGCTTGGCAAGGGCCCAAGCCTGAGTAGCTCGGCTGATATTCCAATCACTAATTTTAGTGGTACTTTAATTGAAAAGTATCATTTAATGGTTGAATCCCATTATGAAACCATTAAAGGGTCAAATGATATCAATTAACAGTTGAGGTAACTTTTTTATTTTCATTTTATTTATGTACCTTTTAAGGAATAAAAAAAAAATCTAAATTACCCTTGTTTAGATTGGGAAAGGAGGAATAATTATCCATTTTAGTAATTTGACCCCAACCAAATGATGAAAATAATGAAACTTGTTCAAGGTTATATAATAAGAAGCACACCGTTAAAAATTCCTGATGAAGAATAATTGCAGGTATTTATGCCACTTGATAGATACAATACATTTGGGTGCCAAAGGACAAAAAATACTCCCCTGATATTTTTTATTACTTCTTTAGAACAATGTGTTTCTAATTTGAAATTATGAATAAGTAAGGGAATTTTTATCATTTAGTTAAAGTATAATTACTAGAATACTTTTATTATCCATCCTTTCCAACTCCGTAGAAAGACAATTTGAAATTTTTTTATATTTTTTAAAGCGGTATCTAAGTCAAATAAAACCAAAAAAATAATTAGGTAAAATACCAATTGGGATTTTGTAAGGTCTTTCATGCTATCCATCCTACTTTTTCTAAAAATCAAACATACGACTTCGAAAAAAAAAAAAAAGTTCCGACCTTTTAAAGGTCAAGAAATTTTGGATTTAGGCCTGCCGGAATGTATTATGATAAAATTAAAAAAACAATGACAATTTCACCCCTTATCCTGGTTGCTTTGCCCATGTGTTGCCACGTGTTTATTGCGTTCACATTATCAATAAATAACCAAAAACCAAGTCAATAGGAATATACTTGACATTGCCACGTGTCAATACATTTCATCACTTATGATGACGTCAGTTTTGCGTAACGTGTCAAATCAGGAAACTTCGTCGTGGTTACGAAGAAACCGAGCCTCTTTTTTTTACGGAATATTAATTATTATTTGCACAATAATTTTGCTATTCCCACCCCAAACTTTGTGAGAATTAGGGTTGACAACGGGCCAGGAAACCGGCCCTGAAAACCTAGGGCTTGGGCTTGGGCTTGGGCTTGGGTCGCAAAAGTTGTCAATTTTAGCTTGGCGTGGCCTTTATTTTTTTCATCTAGGTAGGTTATAAGTCTACTATCTTAATTAATCAATCGAAGCAAAGGAGAATTTAAGTACCCTAAATTGTAAATTTCAACCCAGGCGAATGAGAACTAAGAGTTCTTTCGATCGAACGGGTGAGGGAAGTCCCGCGTTTGTAAGTTGTATGGATGAATTGAGCATCAATAATACACAAATAAAAAAATCCTCGATTGAGTTAATACTCATTATGTTAGATAACTAAGTAGTTTTGTCCTTTTTTTTAATTTTTTCTTGCCCAGTGTGTTCCTGAAAAAGGCCAAGACTGGGCATGTGTTAGCCCTCAGTGTAGGGCTAAAATAGGGCCCGGCCCGTTACCAGCCCTACTTGGAAAAGTTTATAGAGAGAAGCCTTTATAAGTCTTCCAGAGCATGTCTAGGTTGTGTTCGTCTTTACTTCACTTTGAGCTTCCTCACAGACCATGTCGAATCCATTTTTCAGGCAACCCAACATGCCGGAATTCTTTCCGGAATCTGATGATCAGTTCCCTTTCCAACTCTCTGATTACCTTGTGCTTGAAGAAGGGTCAGATGACTCTTCTGGTTTGAAGTCTCCAGAAGATTTGTGCCCGAGCAATGATATGCAGTTCAAAACGCCGGCTTGCTTGCCAGAATCCGGTGCAAATTCCGGCCAGGGTGTTAGTGACAGTAGCAATAGCAAGTGGGTTCGCCAACTTTAAGTGAACCTTGTTCCTTTCTTGGGTTTTTGTAGCCAACACCAAATGATTTTCTTACTCTTGATGTGAATTTTCTTTATTATGCAGCTTCAAAGAGTTCAGTGTTTTTTTTTTTTCTTTTTTCTTTTTTGGTAATTTAATGGAGAATACAGATCCTACCCATTTTTTCAAATTGGTTGTAGCTTTTTTAAGGTTTCAATAGGATTGAAAGGAACGTGAAACTGATACATGGTGGCGCTACCGCAGCGACCCAGCCCCTTTCTCGGATTTCAGTGTTTTTACCTGTTACTTTTTGCAGTTTTTAGTTTTGATGCAATAGATAGTAACCTTTTTAAGGGAATTTTGATAAAGTTTTGAGAGAGAGAGAGAGAGAGAGTGAGTATTTTAACTTTCCTTCATTAACAAATCAAGCACCAATTGTTGAAATGTACCCTAAAATGGCTAGAGAGAGAGAGAGAGAGAGCGAGAGAGAGACTTTCTTTTAATTTCAGTGGTATGAACCTCTCTTAGATATCAAATACTAGGTTTCAACAAGCACGCTTTAATGGCAAAAGGACATATTCACATAAAGGCTAGTCTGCCTAGTCCTGAACCTACTTGTGTGTGTGCCTAGAGAGAGAGAGGGAGAGAGAGAGAACTCAAACAAGATCGAGAGAGAGAGAGAGAGAGAGAGATTGAGATTTGTTGCTTTTACCTTGTTTTAAACTTATAATCTTATGAAATGAGAGAGAGAACTCAAACAAGAGAGAGAGAGAGTGTGTGTGTGAGAGAGAGAATTGTTGTTTTTCACATTGTTCTAAACATCTAATCTTATAAGAGATTGTTACCATGTTGCAACACAGGTTAGGAACCAAGAAATTGAAGAAGATGAAAGTGGAAAATGGAGTGAGGGTTGCTTTTAGGACTCAATCCGATGTTGAAATATTGGATGATGGCTATAGATGGAGGAAATATGGGAAGAAATCAGTTAAAAACAGCCCAAATCCAAGGTAAGAAAATTAAGTTTGATATTTTACTTCTCTCCAACTCAAATGCAATTTTCTCAAGTAGTCCAGCACTCTTAAAAATAACCAAATCCGCCAATTCTTAAACTTTCTCAGATTTACAATGTATGAATAACTCTTTAAAATTCCTAACCAAAACTCGATTCTCACTCTCTCAAATTGGTAACCAAAATTGGGTTCCCTCTCTCTCTTGGTAACAAAAATGTAGGGTTCTCAAGAACCCTTAGCTTGCAGAACCGAGAATCCCAAATTTCGAGATCCCACTCAAGATCGTATATATGATTGGTTAAATGTGAAGAAGATGAATATAACTATAAAGCGAGTACAATAAATAAAGCAAACATAAAAAAACAAATGCACGACAACAACACAATTTAAGTAGTTCACCCCATAGGGTTACATCCACGGCCTTGGCAAGTCGAAATCCACCATCATAATGAATGGTACAGTTTTGGGTTACAAGAGATAATATATATCTCTAAATATCGGACAAAGACTATCACCGATCTTCCTTTTTAAACTCGCTCACCTGACCGAGCAATACCATCAATCAATATGTAATACATCTACCAGAAAGATAATCTCGAGAGAAATCGAGAGACTTTCTCTCTCTAAAAATAAAAGCCTTACCAACCTAAAATTTATGGGAATACCGCCTCTCTCTCAAAAGTCACGTCTCGCTCTCTTGAAGATCAATCTCCATCTCGAATATTCTTTCCCGTAACTCCCAAAAGGGTGACCCTAAAAAAAAAAAGATATTATATCTTTATTAAGTTTCTTATATAGATATCATTTTTATACTTTTTAAAAAACTGTAGAGTGATTTGACTATCACCGAACCCAAAAGCAAAATTGGGTTCTCTCTCTAAAATTGGTAACCAAGACGGGGTTCTCTCTCTCTCTTTAAAATTGGTAAGCAAAACTGGTTTCTCTTTCTCAACGGAGGTTGACAAAACGTTACCTATTTTATTCTCTCTCCCTCTAAAATTGGAAACCAAAACTGGGTTCTCTCTCTCAACATAGGTCGACAAAAAGTACACGTTGTATTATCAGGGTTCTCTCTCTTCCTTCCCCCCTCTCTCTCTCTCTCTCTATAGTTACACGCCATTCTTTCTTCTTTGCATTCTTTCACAATAATGCATGT